ATATTTGTTGGATGATAGCTTCTTGGTTGGTTCGTTCCCAGAGCTCCTTGTTGCTTATTCTGACTATTCTGACCATCTGATCTTCAGTAGCGAGCCAGCGTAAGCAGTTGTTGATGAATGTCTGTAGTTTATTGGAAATGCCTTTCGTGACGCGCCAAGTCTCTGAACCATACAGGAGCACTGACTTGACGTTGGTGTTGAAAATCCGTGTCTTGTTCCGCATGCTGAGTGCAGAAGATCTCCACACTGGTTTCAGGCTAATGAATGCCTGTCTTGCTTTTCCGATCCTGGCTGACTTTGACATCTTCGTCTGTGCCGCCTGTAGTTGAAACAGTACTTCCTGGATAAGTGAAGGAGGTTACTTCCTTTAAGTATCTCCCGTTGATGGTGATGATGATTGGAGTTTGTTGTTGGTGGTGGTGCGGTATCTTCATCACCTCTGTCTTCTCTATATTCACTTGAAGTCCCGTCTTCGCTGCCTCTTCTATCAACTTGTTAGTTTTTGCTTGCAGATCTTCAAGTTTATGTGACATTAGGCACAAGTCATCGGCGAAATCCAAGTCTTCTAGGTTCTTTTCCGTCGTCCAGTGTATCCCCCTCTTCTCGCTACCTACTGTTTGCTGCATGATCCAGTCCACCACAATAAGGAATATCATGGGGGATAGTAGGCAACCTTGTTTCACTCCCGTCTTCACTTCAAAGGCATCACTGAGCTTCCCATTGTGGATTACTTGGCATGTGGCATCTTCATATAGTTGTTGAATGAGGCGGATAAAGGTTTGCGGTACTCCGTAGTAGTCAAGCAGTTTCCAAATTACTTCTCGGTCGACGCTGTCAAAGGCCTTCTCAAAGTCGATAAAGTTGAGGTAGAGAGCTGATTGCCATTCTATGCTCTGTTCTATGATGATGCGAAGCGTTGCAATTTGGTCGGCACATGATTTGTACTTCCTGAAGCCTGCCTGTTCCGGTCGCAGTTTTGAATCCAGTGCGTCTTTAAGCCTCTCCAAGATGATGCGGCTTAATATTTTACTTGGGGTGGACAGGAGAGTGATTTCGCGCCAGTTCTTGCAAACACTGATGTCTCCTTTCTTCGGCAGTTTGACAAGGTAACCCTTCTTCTAATCGTCAGGTACCTTCTCTTCCTTCCACACCTTCTGCAATAGTGGTGTGAGCATGTCTGCTGTTGTCTCTGCATCTGTTCTCAGTGCTTCTGGCGGTATCTCATCTGGTCCTGCTGCTTTCCCGCATTTCAGTAGCTTTATGGCGTTCAGGACTTCCATTTTCGTTGGGGGATTTATGTTCACTTGTAATTCAGCGGCTGCAGGTGGTATTTCTGGACGAAGTGCAGGTGGTGGTGGTCGATTCAAGAGCTTCTTGAAGTGGTCGGCCCATCGTTTCCTCTGTTTCTCTTCTTTCGTAATTAAATTCCCTTCTTCATCTTTTATTGGTTTCATCTGTGTTGGTCTCTTCCCTGATAGCAACCTGGTTATTTGATATAATGTCGTCAGGTCTCTTTCTCTCCCACCTGCAGCCTGTTCTGCTTCACTTGCAAGTGTGTCGTAGAAGTGTCTTTTGTTTTTGCGTGCACTCTTCTTCACTTCTTTATCCAGTGTTTTATACATTGTGCTCAGTTCCTCTTGTCGTTGAGCATCCTTGCACTGGTTTATCTTCTGCTTCACCATCCGCCTCCCCTCTATCAGCTTCCAGGTATCCGTCGAGATCCATTCCTTGTCTTCTTTCTTCTTCCTTCCTAATACTGTTGTGCAAGTTTCTTTCCACATCTCTTTCAAAGACTTTCAGTGTTCTTCCACACAGGTTTCTTCAGGGATGTTCCTCGATATCTCACATTTTGTCTTGATGGCTGCCGTGAAGATCTCCTTTGTAGTTTCATCCTTCAGTTTCCGAGTGTTGTACTTGAATTGAGGTCTATCACCAACTTCCTTGAAGGCTGTTCACTTGATTTCGAAGGTTCCTTGCACTAGATAGTGAGTGGTGTGAACCTACATCTGCTCCTCTTCTTGACCTTGTGTCAACTAGACTGCGTCTCCATTTTCTTGAGATTGAGATAAAGTCGATTTGATTTTTAGTGTGTCCATCTGGTGAAATCCATGTCGCTTTGTGGATATCTTTGTGCCTGAACACACTGCCTCCAATCACCAAATCGTTGAATGCACAGAATTCTGCAAACAATTCTCCATTCTCATTCATTTCACCTAGCGCCTCTCGACCCATGGTTAGTTCTCTTCCTGTGTTGTCCCCTCCCAGTTTGGGATTCATGTCGCCCCACCCATTAGAATTTTGACATCGCCAACTGACGTCTTGTCCAGTGTTGATTGAAGTTGTCTGTAGAAATCCTCCTTTTTCTCTTGCACTGCATTATTTGTAGGTGCATAACATTGTATGATTGTGACCTTCCTTCCTTTTGAGTTGAATCTTGCTGCCATGATCCTGGAGGAGATTGGTTCCCACTGCATGAGAGCCTTCGATGCTCTTGAGGACATCATGATAGCCACTCCCTCAGTGTGCTCGTGGTTGGCGTCTGGGTGACCGGAGTAGATTATTGATTCTCCAGTTGATAGTTTGGAGAGTCCACTCCCATTCCATCTGCTTTCGCAAATCCCAAGCACTTCGATGTGATACCTTCTCATCTCATTTGCAATCTGGGCTGCCTTACTGGGTTCAAACATCGTACGGACATTCCATGTCCCCACGTTTACTTTCGCTTTCATCGAGAGAGAGAAGACACATCGGCCAATCGGCTTCCCGAAGGCTTTCACCAACTGGCGTCATTTCGCCTCTCCGATTCCAGCGGGGAGTAAGTTTGTTTTCATTTTTTATATTTTGTTTGTGCTTTGAAGTTTCTTTAGCGGTTATATTTGTTTTACGGGGTAGGGTTGCTAGCCCTATGCCCAACCTTCCCTCTTTACCCGGGCTTAGGACCGGCTAGTAACTAGTGAACTAGTTAACCAGGCGAGGATTGACACCTAACAACTAACAAACAACTGCCAAGTTATATTCGACACAAATATCGGCCAAAATTTGTTTAAAATACATGCGCTAGGACATAATTGATGCTAATTCTCGAAATGAAGTTTTCGCCCCAAACTACTATTATTATTATTACCTCTATCCTTATATATATATATGAAATGGGAACATGTGCATACGGCCGAACATTGACGCACATGAGCGCAAAAGTATACACCTGTGGATATCAGGAAAATAAATCTTACTGTGTCAAGTTTTACAACAAAAACAGATATAGTCAAATAACCGTCCCAAATCCAGTTTGTATTTAATGAGTAGAGAAAAAGCAGTCAAGGTGATATAAGAGATTATTTATTGACTGATACACATTTATGCGTGCATGCGAATGTGTATGCATAAGCAGAATCAACAAAATTATGATTAGTATTTCATTAAAGCCAAGGAGGGATAAGAAAGTCTAGAAACATGTTTATGGAGAGAAGAAAGTACACAAAACATATCGAATATACGAAACAATGTTTATCATGTTAGTCACCTTAGTATCTACAGTTAGCATTGTTTAACCTTTTCACTAATGAGAAACAATATCGTAAAATGTATGTGTTCCCACTGATTAAATATCAACTGGTTATGCTGCTTAAGTCATAGGCAAACAGAATGAGATATGGGGAAGGCTATTACAAGTGTTCTTCTACTTTATGTTTCGGATATCTTACAAAGATTCAGTTGACTTCAATGGCTTTACGAAACACACCATCTGATGTTGAACAACTGGAGCCATTTACTTATATATATATATATATATATATATATATATATATATATATATATATATATGTATCTTCACTGTCGCCTATACTGATGTAAGTAAACCCTTTCAGCCATTAAAATTGTTTACGTTACTGACCGGAATAAAAAACAGAATGAACTACTCATGATACTCATTATATCAAATGTAAAAGTCGTCTATGGTTCATGATACAAATCAGCTGAATATGAAGTGACAAAAATAGCCTATTTTTAGGTTTCTATTTTTCAGATGAGAATGAAAAAGGTGTAAGTCAAAGTATGTGTTGTATAAACCAGTTCGTTTCTTAACCTAGCAGTTCTAGTTTTACTAGCCAGGCGTTTTAATGTCAGTCTAGGCGCCTGTTATACTGCGATTTACTTTGTATACGTATAAAATGACAAAAAATATGTTCAACACTTTCTCAACCTGACCTGGAGAAACAAGTTCTCATAAGTGAACTCCCCTTAAGATATTTAAGGTAAGGTTGGTAGGAAAATGCTACATTTTTGACTTCGAAACCTTGATCAGCTGAACATCAACTCATTATTCCGAATGACTTCGCACTGTACTCCTATATACATATCAAACCCATTCTAATCAGTAGCTCTCATTGCAGTAACACGCAGTGTTTATAGCCTTCAGTCGATAAATTTAGCGACAGCTAAGATAATTGACACAACATTTTGACGCAAAGTACTTTGGTGTTAGATGCTAGAAGCCAACTGACCGACAACCACAGGATTACACAAATTATTACAGCATACATTATACCTTGACAAACTAGATAAGAAATTCAAAGTAATATTCTTCTTGTTACGAACAATTAAGCTTATTTTTCACCATTTTACTTAACAGGATCACATTCCACCTGACTTCTGTCTAGGATTTCACACGTGAATGTTTCTTTTGAAATAAATTCTACACATCCTTAGAAGCACTCTGGAAGTATAAGAAATATCAAAGGATTTACAAACTAGTTTGATAATATTCAGGTACTTGGTAAAATGTGAACTAGTGCTACAAATCAAATGCTGCACAATATTAAACAGTATAAAACAGTAAAATGCAATGCTGATCTTGTCATCTCAATATAATGTTTTGAATGCTAATTTTCCACTTTGCAGGTTACCCTGTAAAGATTCTGAAAAGCTAAGTGAAGATGGAGATTACGTTACGTTAGTAAAAAAAAATCCGAATGTTCACAGAATACAAATTAGCTAACCTTGGACTTGATGAATTGCAACGGACTTCACCCGTAAATTCGTGAACATGGTTATATTTTTAGCAAAAACATACTTTTGTTCCCCATCCTGAGATTTTCAAAGTGGCAAACGTTATGTTAAAGCATCATATAAAAACCATGGGTGAGATGACACATTTTTCGAATTCGCACAAGCCATTAATTTCTATCTCTGATTTAAAAGTCTACAGACTGGGTTCAGTGATGAAAATAAAAACTGTCTAATGTTCAATTTTGATACATTTCTTGGGTTGGAACAATCCTCTTTTCAGTCAGTCCTATCTTAAAGTGAAGGACAAACAAAGTTATTCTCGAAATTTAGCAATCCAGTTGGAATTCCGAACAAACGACTCTATGTTAACGTACTGGATGCAGGAACTGAAGGCAGTAGGTGCGATCCTCCATAGGGTCATAGGTGCTCACTGCTGAAGAATCCAATAACAGGACGAGACAGATTTCCAGCGCTCTCGGCTCTTCAGTTATCCTCCGACTGACGTCATTACCTGATGAGTACCAACTTGAAATCAATGAAGAAACCCCCATAAACTTCCAAATAAAAGACATACTCGTTGAAGGTGTATAGCTCCAGCTTGACTCCTTAAGAGTGTCTATCTTTGCAATCGAAACTTTCATAGTTTGTGTGCACCATCTTCTAACTACAGAGTTAGCTATTTTTATCAAGGTTATTTAGAAACTGTAGATCAATTGAAAAATATTAGGAAACTAAAATTCTTGTCCCATTAACTTCATCACATTTGCTTGATGCCTTGGATAATTAATCATCTGAATAATTCGACTTATGAGTTGAAAATCTTTTGTAGTAGATAAGTGTTAAAATTAGCTTATCAACAAGAATTTATATTTCACCCAGTAAAATTAAATCGTCTTTGACAACGTATCTTTTTATTTTCAATGTTTTTGTAGCCATTATGAGCTTGATGATGACATTTTGTAGTCTTATATAGTTATATTTCTCCCTAAATTTTGGGATTTAAACATTGAATTCCACGGCTGTCATAATATTCAGATATAACAACTCAGCCAGTAAATTCATTGATATCATAACGCATAATGAATAGTGGTAAACAAAGTGGTTGAAATGAAAAGCGGTGAAACTGTTTCAGAATCTTCTGACATACTTCATTTAACTATGAGAAATCACATGTATGCAGCGATTCATGCATTTTACACGAAAAGAAAATGACTGCTCAATGGTGCTTCATTTGAATTATAATTGAAGCTTTATCATAATCCATTTGTCTCTACAGGCATAATAAATGACTAGACACGAAAGAAATTTCATTTGTGAAGGTAAATGTGGAACATGCTAAAAGTTAGTTTAACACACGATAATTTGCAGTGTCAAATTAGAGGATATGTTAGCGATTTACAGAAGGAGGAATGACGCTTTTGACCATCCTTGCCACAGCTGAAATAATTAGTTAATCTTCTTGGTTACAAATTTGATAAAATAAAGAACTGTGACTGCTTATCTTAGCAGATGCTATGAAAGCTTTTTACAGTCACTCCTTGAAGGACAATTTGATCAATGTAAATTTGTGTATACGCCATATTTTTCTTTGAAATAAACATTATAGTGATTTACTTTTCTAATGTTTTTATGCTTTTTGCAGATTAGAGGATTGACCAAAATACTATTGTACTCGCAGTGTGCTGAATTATAGGAAAAAGCCTTATAAATATATTACTTTACATCATGAGTAGTGAGAAGTGATACAGGCTGATCTGAAGAATCCTGTAGCCAGATGATAATGAACCAGACAACGAGAAGCCCCAAGTCATCAGTGGCGTTCATATGGAAAAATTCAGTTCACGGAGCTAAAATGTTCTAACCAGTTGAAATGACCCTCGAGTGTTTCGTATTATCTAGTTAACGAAATCTGCAGATCAGTGTATCACTTTTGTCTACTCATGGTGTTCAGCAGTACATTCTGCCAGTTTATGACACTTTTGTGGTTGATTAGTTTCCAGTGAAAACCTTGCCGATACTCCAGTTGTGAAGTTTAAAAATTATTCAGCTGTGAAAAATATGACCATAGATTGTGCAGTCTGTTTATAGTTTGAAAATCGATTACCCTATGAAAGAAATTTATCTTTATACTTGAACAATTATCATATTTAACTTTTTTGTAAATGAGTACAATGTGTGATTTCATCAATGCATTCACATGTCTACTTTGTCTAAAGAAAACAGAGTCCAACTGATTATTTTAATATCAATAATAATTCATATTTCAAACCGTTTGGTTCTGTATACCATTTGATGATATTTACTAAGTAGCATCCATTGGCAGGTTATTCCTACTTATTGTGCTGGTGTCATGATCGAGTACTATTGACTGCTTTTAACAAACCACAGGCTGTCAAATAAACTAACATTATGTCCGCCTTCTCAACAATATTGTTAGTATTATGAGGCCACACATTATAAGTATGAAATTGATGATTCCTTTAGTTGGCGAATTAGCATTCCAGATCCAGAGAATAAGATTTACCCTGATATTAGTGCGAGATATTAGCTGGAATTAGATTTTTGTATTTGGTACAGTGGTTAATGATGCAGTATTAATTACTGAATAAAACTTTTGGCACTGTTTATTGTCAGAATTTATGTCAACACAATCAGACATCCTTCAATAACTGGTTTGTATAATTCTGTTACTACGCAATCTTTTCGCGTTCATGTAAATATTGGCGAAAAGAGCAATATGGTTAATTGAAACAGGAAGTGTTTACCGTATCACTGTTTATCAAATCAGTGCTCAGTGAATAAAGTACGACTGTTGCTACTTGTCTTCTTGAAGCTTACACTTACACTAAATACAAGAGTTGAATACGATTAGGTTTTTTAAAAATAAAGTTTGAAAAGCTTCTGGTCTATCTTGGTCTCATTATAAATGACTATCTGAGATAACCATGGTTTAGCAGACTTGTATTGATACTAGGTGATGAATGAAGGTCAACTGGTGATCTGTGCCACACCAGGAAGCCTCTGGTTCAAACCCTGCAGTAGTCCAGATTGTTATTTCACCTCCAATCATCACTTAATTAAGCTCAATGCTTCCTCTGGTGAACAGTACTCTTTTATTACGTGCTAAAGTCGGTAAGGCAGCGTAGCACACATAATACTCTGCTAAATCTCCACTATGAGCGTAAGTTTGTTTAAATAAAACACGAAAATGACCTTAATGTTTACGAACAAAATAAACACGTATTCCGATTAATATCTCTCAAAAAAGCTTAGTAAAAACTCAAATTTTAGTCTGAGTTACTTGAAAACTTCAAAGTAAGTAGTAATTTATGGCTTCAAATGATTTTATGAGAATGTCACATCGAAATCATAAAACGTTAAGTGGTATTAACTTGATGTAATAAAATATTTCTTTAAACTGTACTGCATACAATTACTCCTCATGCTGTTACCCTGAATGTTACTCACACCGTTTCGTCTAAGCTATTACTAACGATTCGAAAGGTTTACCAACATTTACCTTCTGATTTACATCAATATGTACATCTGCATGTTTACATTGTTGAATAGATGAACCAAATGCTCATTTCATATATTTGTAGTTCAATAGCAAAATATCTTTATGCAAGTTATTAAATTGTGGGACCAACATATCTACACAGCCTGTCCAGAAAACATGTGAAGTTTCTGATTAACTTACTGACATGAGAGTGACTGTTACACTGTTTTCCTACAGAGAAAACTTATAGACTGTCTTTCATCTTTTGCACCTCTTATTTTAGGTGTACATAGTTAAAACCAGTTAGTCAGTTGTAGCCGTTGCATTCAGGAAATCAATAGGCATTTGTTTATTATTTAATAATCCTATTAGCATACAATAAAAGTGTAAGCAAACCGAATCGTTTATTTCTTTTCATGATCGTTCAAAAGCACCAACTTTACTTACTGGGAGTAGTATTCTCAAGCACTATATTTTCATCCTGCAAATAACAGCAGGGTAATACCTCTTAAGTGAATCCATTAGAGCGAAATTATAGTAATGTTTTACCACGTCATTTATTTAGGATTATATAAGATACACTTATTTCCATAATCTTAAGAAAAAAATATATGCATGTAATACTTACGCAGCGACTTCAATATTCTCTCACTAAATAAGATAGTTAAAAAACCCAAACTAATAAACTACAATACTAGATGACACAATGCTGCATTGGTCAGGAGATATCAGTAACTTTCAAAGTTGCAAAAGATCTTTTTTTGGCAAATATTTATGTGTTTCATATAACACAAAATAATACCGTATTATCTACCTCATCACGTCTCAAGTGCAAGTCATCGCTATCACAATTTGTTTTTCCTCTTGTACCAACAAATATCAAGGAGGTGGTGAGACTCCTGTCATAAAGAACTCAAATCAAGCTGAAATGACGGAATTCCTTGAGAAATGAAGCTAGACAACATGATATCGATTGTTCTCCTGTAACAAATCGTTGACCTATTAGCCATTAGTGGACGTATAATTTTGTTGAAACTGTAGTCACAAGTCTACAGCTTCTAAAAATGATTTCAGGTTCGTATTTATCATGGATTGACACCAGTCGCGAAATCACTGAAAACCTAAAAGCAATGGATAGATGTCCCATTCTAGTGTGGGTTTCCTCAACAGCACACTCGCGATCCCGCAAGGGTTTGAACTCAGGACCTTCAAAGTTCGTGGTGAACACTTTTTCACTAAGCCACAGAGTTCTAGTTCAATTATCCATCCGAAACCAATAAACTCCCACAAACTAGCAAGCCGATTTTCGGAAAACGATTCTTCAAAAAGAAAGTCTTCTTTGCTGAATTATCTTTCATAATTGTTTCAGAACTCAAAAGTATTTTGGTCAAAAAAAGATGTTATAGTAGAAATCTTAAATCTACAGTTTCATGAAAAGCTTTAGCCAAAGGCACTTCCTTCGAGTCTGAAGTGTTATGTATTAACTTTTTAAATATATGTACTTTTGGAATAAGCGGTTTTTATCTTGAGACTATTAATCACAGTGTTGCTATCCTTGTTTTATCATTTTTGTTACTGATCAAATGGCTAGTTGCTTATAGTTCAATCTTATGGTTATATATGCCGTGAGTGGACCATGTTACCTTTTTGACAACCGTTTAAATTTGAGGACGTACCAAGAAAATAACGCTGAAAATCGTTCGTTATTTCATTCTTACATTATCATTGTCGACTTACGACTCATATATGCAAGCATATCACCGAAATTAGTGGACTATTCGAAGTTTAGCATATCTTACCCCAAATGCTCCGCCCATTACAATATGTAATTTTGCACAGAAGAAGCATATCTGTCAATGAGTTTATGTGTTAATAGAGACAGTAGATTAGTAAAACAATTTTTCGAGTTTTGTTTACTTTACAGCCTACATACTATTGATGCATTCATTCAATTAACTTGTTAAACATTTTTGATAAGTACAATTAAACATTTCATAGTTTTTATCTCCTGCTTTATCATATTTAAAATAGGTAAGTTACATCCACCTCGATAATGCTACCTCCAAAACGCATGTGCTATTTCACTGTACACAGGTAGACAATTCAAGCTATTCAGATTTTGCAATCCACATAGAACAAGTATTCAGTACTATTGAAGATTATATATATATATATATATATATATATATATATATATATATATGGAAAGCTATATACAATTACTAGTTAGCGTATTATGCAACTAGGAAATGATACGTTCTCGTGAATGCGTGGTGACTGTGACTAAAATCAAGAGAAATCCAATGTAGCTGCAGAATTCAAACTGCCAACTGCTAAAGAATCAGTTTAATTTATAGCAGTAAAACCAAGTGACTCAAATATTGATCAAACTAAGATTTCAGTCAATGAATTCTCAATACCTCGAAAAACAATTCTGCTCACCAGTTGCCGTCTTTTAGAGGTCTGTTGCACTTTAACATTTATTCTGTGTTACATCTGTAGCGGCAAATAGTCACCCAAAATCAACAACCTAGAGTTCGACGCGATTCAACATTTATGCTGACTTTCTTAGTTTTAAAATAATTGTTAGGCTGAAGACACTAGTTCAAGCAACCACTCTACTCAGCATGTTTTGGTTTTATGTTGCACTGCTCTCACGGTTTTCTTTGCCCAGTTAGAAGGAATGCACTGGTAATTAAGCACGGGCTATGAAATATAATAATTCATCTGGTTACTCTATTGTGTTCTTTCTTGACTTTGCATTTGAAGGTTTATAACAAGTACGAATAATTTGTAATTAGCCCTTGCATCTGCAAGGTTTGCCGAGGATCATTTCCTACGCACTGGTTCACCTTGACTTTTCCAAATACTCTAACTATTTTATTTCTGTGTGTTTTGGAAATGTCATGTTACAAAGAAAATAAGGACAAGTACTTACTTAAAAAGCGTAATCAATAGAAATAACACAATATTTGCAAACAAAAAAAGCATTTTTAGTCTCCTGTGTTTTTGATAACATTTTTTAGAAACTAATTTTCTTACACTTTAATTTTGTTTTCAGTATATCAAAGATACAGTTTTCAGTTACTGGGTAAAACAACTTGTGACAGATACTAACTGTCCATTACTAAAATTGGGTACTCATTCACTTCTTAACACATATTGTATAATATTTATGTTAATTTTGAAATCACTGTTTTCAAGTGAATGGAGTTGAAAAACGTGCACAATTAAACAATTAAGTAAAAACTGTATTTGGCAGTGATTAAATCAACTAAATAGCAACACACAAATTGCCAAAAGCTGAAGTATAGATTTGTGTTCCAAATATATTATCCAACTTGAAGTGTTTAGATAGAAAAAAGAAAAGATGGAGAAAAGTGTATCCATCTGCTTTTTTACACATTGGATTCAATTTGTGGCAGACAACACTCTAGGATTACTTAGAAATCTGAATAGGACAGCTTCTGATGTTTTTCGCTTATCTTTAAGAACCTTAGTGTTCCCTATAGATAAATGTGCACTTTCGGAACTGCACTGAAAATGTATTATTAATCTGAAAATGTTATCCAACTCTGTAAAACTTGTTTTTATGCATG